TGGGCTGCACATGCAGCCAATGTGTGTAGTGGGGGCAGTTCATCTATGCGCTGCTGATCCCCAGCTGGCGGGGGAGGGGGAGAGGTAGCACTTGGAGCTGCTTTTGGTTTCACTTCCCCATGAGCCAGATCGCAGGTGTGGGGACGAGGCTGGAGCACCAGTAAGAGCTCCTTGCTGTGGAGAGAGGGAGGGAGAGAAAGAGGGTGGGATGGGAGAGCCTGAGCTCGAGCTGTGGACCACCTGGAAGGTGGCTGTAGATCATTAGCAGTCTGCAGACTGCAGTTTGAGAACCACAGCCTAGCTAATCTGGTGGCCCCTTTTGGCCCTCAACTCTGACTCTGATATTAATTTACTGATCATAATTATACCATAGATGTATTTGCAATTTCCACTGGCATCCATAGGAGTTGTATGTGAGTGAGCATCTCTGCGCAGAATTTAACTTTAAATTAAGAATGAGAAACGTAATGTTTAAAAGGAAACACCCAGCATAGCTCAGGAAATACAGCTACATATTAGCAGATCTAAAAATTCATTCTGCTGGGGAGTCATGGTGTTGATTTGCTGCCAAATGTGATTGTTGACAAGCATTTGAGATGGCAGTACTGTACTTGGTAATGGTGCAAACAGGGTTCCCAACAGAATTGTTGGGCCTCCGGTGTATGGGGGAAAGTGGCTGTGGGCCCCTGGAAGGGGTGGGGTCTTGCATGGAAGGGCAGGGCTGGGGACTAACCTCTGCCAGCAGCCTTTTAGCATTGTCCAATATGCACCGCCTAGGGCTGTTTCAGTATTTTGAAGGCTCTTGGAGTCTGGTTGCTGCAGCTGCTTCAGTAGTCCTTGTGGCAGTGGCCTGGAGCCCCAGGCCCTTATAAATAAGTGGGGCCAAGGGCTGCTGTCCAATCTGCTCCTCCACTCCCCCTCCTCTCCCACTCCAGCATTGACAGTTCTGAGTGCAAACTAAACCTCAAATAAAAAAATGTTTTCCACGTCTAATATTTCCTGAACTGGTTGGGCTGAAAAATACTATTGTACATCATTGGGAAGGTGGAATTCCCAGGTTTCCAATGATGTATATAAAATTAATTTATAGCCATAGAACGTAAAACAATCACAGATTCCCTCAGATCAGGAAGATGGATGTAGGCTACTTACCAGACAAGCCAGGATGTTTTGTGGGTCAGCTGTCTGCTTTGAGTGTGTTTTACATTTAATTTTATTAGTGTTTACGTAGGGGTAAGTCTTGCTGAACAGTCCAGACTCTGTTAATTCTGCTGTTGTCAGCACAATTCAGCTTGCACCTCTGTTTCTCCACTTCAAGAATAGTGAAAGCGTGCCTTCCGTTGTGGAAGAAATGCATGGGAACTAGCTAATCTTACAAGACATGTAATTCTACCTATCTTTCCAAACATCCAAAACCATTAAAGGATGGTCACTGCAGTCTGTCCTGTTTTATGGAGCTGATGCAGTAAAATAAATAAAAATAATTAAAAATAGGAGACTACAAAAGGGTGCCAGCACCAAGAAAAACATCTATTGAAGGAAAATACAGGACTGTGTAGCACTTTAAAGACTAACAAGATGGTTTATTAGATGATGAGCTTTCGTAGGCCAGACCCACTTCCTCAGATCAAATAGTGGAAGAAAATAATCACGAATATATATCGAAAGCTCATCATCTAATAAACCATCTTGTTAGTCTTTAAAGTGCTACACAGTCCTGTATTTTGGTTCAGCTACACCAGACTAACACGGCTACATTTCTATCACTATCTATTGAAGGGTGCGACTGTGTTGCATAGGCATGTATTGGCTTTCTTCTGCAGGGTGGAGGTAGAGCATATATTTTATTTTTGAGGCCCTGTCTTAATAGCACATTCTTGGTTATGTTTTATCCTTCGAAGTATTTGTAAGAAAAGCATCTTAAGATTTTGCACTAGTTCTATTAAATTGAAGCAATATCCAGACTGCAGTATGTAACAAAACATTCTATTTTAACATTCTAAGTTAACTTTAACTTCTATTTTAACTTAATTTGAAGTATGCAAGTAGGGTTGCCAGGTGTCCGGTATTCACCCGGACAGTCCAGTATTTTCGCCTCCTGTCCGGTGGTAAAAATTCAGAGAATACCGGACATCTAAAATGTCCGGTATTTTCTGATTTATTCCCCCCCCCCTGGCCAGGAAGTGAAAATGCCAGGCACCTGGCAGCCCTACAAACACTCAGAGCCTGGCCTCCCTCCCACCCCGATTCCCCCCGGCTCCCAACACCTCCAGCCCCTATTTAGCATGCACCAATTTTTGTTATAATTAGGTCATTGCGAGGGAAGGATTATCTCCAGCACTTCTAAAATAACAATTTGGTCTTGAAAAATCAAGTTCTTTGGTCAATCTGCACTTCAATCATTTATGGTGAGATTTCTCTCTCCACTTGACACACGAACAGAAATCACCACGGTCAACCTGTAGACAATTACACGATTAACCAATAGCCTGGGCTTATTGGTTAGCACCTCCCCTCTTTTTCCCCTTCAACAGAATTTTTCCCCGTTTTTTGGGGCGGTGGGTAGGGGGTTCGGTATTTTTGTTTCAACCATCTGACAACCCTACATACAAGTTTTTTCTGTCAATGAATGTTTATCAAGGGCTGTTGAAACTTATTACAGCAATGCATTGGACTTTGATGCCAGCTTGAGATTGGGGACATTGCTAATTATTTTAAATGCATTTTTAAAAACTTTTCCATTGACATAAGGTTACTGAGAGTTTGTGTCCTGCTCTCTTCATTTCAGGTATGAGTCATGTAAATACAGTGAAAGAGGAGGATTTATGTTTCAGAAGTGGAATTGTGTGTGTGTGATCAAAGGATTTACATGCAGCACTCTGTGTTGAAGTTCCTTCCTGCTTGAGGAGGGACACCTGTGGTGAGTAATGGGATAATTTTATAATTAACTCAGACCTTTCTTCAGGAGGCCTGTCATCAAAACAGGAAGATATAATTCACATGGTTTCAAATGGAAATAGAAGAAACTTCAGATATTGCAGACACACCCTTTAATTATAAGCACCGAACTTCAAAAGTTTACTTTTCCTCTTTAGTAACAAGAGAGTTTCTATAAAGAGTGGCATGAGGTTTTGATAAATCCCATGCATTTCAGCTTTCCAACACCCTTCAGTGCTACACTCTGGTAATGTTGGTAACTTATTTGCTAAGTGAGCAAAAAATTGAATGGTTAATTAAAATCTTCTTTCTTGAATCAGTCTTGAGGAAAAAAATGACCATAAAACTGAGGGTGAAGCCCTCAGAAATGTTAACATCGGTCAAGGATCTATCTGTATTGCAATTGGGCTACATGTGTGCATGTTCAATTTATTCTTTGTGATACTTTTTTGGAGATAGGTCTAAAGCTGTTTTGGTTTCTTTTCTCCTTGTCTTTCTCATAAACAAGGTTGTGGGTACTTCTCTAACAACCATGTCAGCTGCACTGGTTTAAATTTAACATTGATTATTCTTACTTCAGGCAAATTCCTTGGCTAAATATGTCATTAAAGAATAAACTAAACTGTTCAATGAGGAATAGAGATCGGCTTGTGCACAAATTTTGGAGCCAAACTTCCCAAATTCAGATATGTTCAATTTGGATCATTTTGGTTTAGAGCTAAACTCTGAATGCTGTGGAGTTAGAATCTTAAAAACCCCATGATTCCCCAGAAATCCAGCCAACTCTGTTTCTCCTCCGTAAGTCTTTGTAAGCTCCTCAGTATAACTTATTCCATTGCTGGCTTGTTCAAAGTTCTGTGTTTTTAAAAAAGGAATAGTGTAAAGGTGGTAGGGCACGACCCTGTGAAAGGGTATGTAAAATCACAGAATTATAGAATCATAGGGTTGGAAGAGACCTCAGGAGGTCATCTAGTCCAACCCCCTGCTCAAAGCAGGACCAACCCCAACTAAATGATCCCATCCAGAGCTTTGTCGAGCCTGGCCTTAAAAAGCCTCTGAGAATGGAGATTCCACCACCTGCCTAGGTAACCTATTCCAGTGCTTCACCACCCTCATAGTGAAATAGTTTTTCCTAATAACCAACCTAGACCTCCCCCAGTGCAACTTGAGACCACTGTTCCTCGTTCTGCCATCTGCCCCCACTGAGAATAGCCTAGCTCCATCCTCTTTGGAACCTCCTTTCAGGAAGTTGAAGGCTGCTATCAAATCCCGCCCCCCTTCGCTTCTGCAGAATAACTAAGCCCAGTTCCCTCAGCCTCTCCTCATAGGTCTTGGACTTCAGCCACTTATCATTTTTATCAAGCTTCACTTACTTTTGCATTTACAAAGGCAGATCAGATCAGTGGATCTGCAGTATTCTTGATTCCCAGAAGCCAATCACAGGGTGAGCTCTGACCTGCTGCCTAGACTATACTGATTACTATTCAGTCCAGGGGCAGGCAATTAAAACTGCCATCCCATCATGGTTAGTCCCTTGCGGGCTGCCTCTGCTATGTTTACCTGCGTCTCTGCAGGTATCGGACAGTCACCGTTCTTGTTGGCCGTGGATCCCTGTTCATGGCCAATGGTGGGAGTGGGAGGAAGCGGCATGCACTGGGACACCACTTCCCACCACAAATGGTAATCTGTGGTCAATGAGAGTTGTGATTGCCTGATGCCTATGTAGGTGCAGGTAAATTTAGAAGTGGGGGCCCATCAGGAACTAACCTCGCAGACTGGAACTAGCCTGTGGGCTGGAATTTGCCCAGTCCTGGTTCAGTCAAGCCTTTCTGCAGCAGTAAGGGATGGTTACAGGATAGCTGATAATTAGGGACTAGTAAAACTAAGGCTTAGCTACTCTCTAGCAATAATTGTGTATAAACTTAAAACATTTTTAAAGCTTAGATTTGTTTTGTCTTTCCTGGTTCCTCTGCAGTGCTGTTAAACAATCAGCACAGCTTTTGTTTCTTTAGCCCTTTGCACTTTCCTGTGCTCTTTCCTGTGCACTCATTAGTACAGCCATCACCAGAACAGCCTAGGTTGAGGCAAGGCCTTTTCAACCATCAAAGGGTTAGTTTTACTTTGCACAGAGGCAGAGCTTGAGATGCTACTGTTTGTATAACATTGGCAGAAGGGAAACCAGCCACGGAAAGTGTGTAAGAAAATAAATGAGGTGGCAGTGGTGGTATAGGTGGGACAAGAGGGCTGTGTCTAGACTGGCCAGTTTTTCCAGAAAATCAGTCGCTTTTCTGGAAAAACTTGCCAGCTGTCTACACTGGCCGCTTGAATTTCCGCAAAAGCACTGACTTCCTATTGTAAGAAATCAGTGCTTCTTGCAGAAATACTATGCTGCTCCTATTCAGGCAAAATCCTTTGCTCAAAACTTTTGTGCAAAAGGGCCAGTGTAGACAGCTCAGATTTGTTTTCTGCAAAAAAGCCCCAATCGCGAAAATGGCGATCGGGGCTTTTTTGCGGAAAAGCGCCTCTAGATTGGCATGGACGCTTTTCCGCAAAAAGTGCTTTTGCGGAAAAGCGTCCATTCCAATCTAGATGCTCTGTTCCGAATATGCTTTTAACGGAAAACTTTTCAGTTAAAAGCATTTCTGGAAAATCATGCCAGTCTAGACGTAGCTGAGATGTTTCTAGAGTGGCATTGTGGAGAAAGCCCATGAGATGGATCTAGAACTGGGCAGGGCAGGGAGAGAAGCTGAAGGAGGGAGCAGCTTAGGAAGTCTTATGGTGGACAGGAAGCATGCTCTGAAAAGGAGGCGGTTACAGTGGGGGAAAGGAGTGGCTTTGAAGCTAGATGAGGAGGCAGGATGAGGTGACAAAAGGCAATGGTGGTAGTGTGTTTGGAATTGGGTGGAAACAGGAAAGAGGCAATTGTAGTTTCTCCAAGTGGGTGAATGATGGAAGGATGCAGTAATGGAGGGAGAGGGAAATTTTCTGTGATTTTAACAATAAGTAACAACTCTTATCGTACAAATCCCCCCATTTTCTGATGCATTATAAATGAGACTGGGTTGCCAGGAAGGTGCATCTATACACTTAGAACTGGTGGTGGACAGAATGTAGGAGAATAGGAAGTTGAGGAGAAGAAGGGTAGAGGCGCTTAGGACAGCGATGAGCAAGCTAGGCTAGTGAGTGGACTGCATGGGTGTCCCTTCATCATCTCAGTGATATTTGAAAATTGAGATTTGTGTGAAGTCTTGTTCAATGTTTTCTTTACTTGGTGACTCACGGGAGACTTTACAAGAATACTTTTAAAAATTATTGACATATAGTAAATTCTATTACTGCTTTGCTTCTTCTAGTGGATTTCAATTTAGTTTTACAGGATATACACTTCAGTTTGTTTTTTAAGTAAAGTTTTTGTATTTGCTCTTTCTCCTGTAGTAGTCAATGGGAAACTGCCATTGAATTAAATGAGACCAAGACCCAGGCCATTGATTTATGAAAGGATTTTTGTTTTATTATTATAACAATTGGTTATTGAGTCCTGACTTGGACAGTTATATCCGATACTCCCATATGGAACTTTCTGGTCCACTGCTCATTTAAGAATGGCCACCTTGTGGGCATGCTGCATTGGCAGAATATTTGTCAGTGATATATGATATTAAAGGTATCATCAACGTGAGACTGGGGAGTGGTGGACCATTTGTAGTGAATGCCATTAAGATTTTTACATTACACTGCATTATAATGTGCCATGCGTTTATGTGAAAAAACTGTTCTAGGAATGTTTTAGTGAGTGCTTGAATTTTTTTATGGGAACTACTACTAGTATCCCTCCAGCAGTAAAGCCATGTTCTTTAGTTGCTACGAATGCAGCTATACAATGCTTATAGGGGCTGGAGGAGAAGCCTGCTAGTTTTTAATGTTACCTAATTTTTTCATCCACAAATATGTCATTAAAATCCATATTTTAGAGTCCTCCAGAGCTAGGAGCAAATGTCCCTTTGGGAAGTTGGGAATCTCCCCTCCACCCTGGATGTTTCTGTTTCTAAACTTTCATACTCCATAAGGATTGGATGCCCTTGTTGTTGAGTTTAATGGTTAACCCCATTGATTCTGTTTTTAATTGCCTCGGGTGCTTTTTAATCCTTTCATAAAAAAGTATGTAGGCTCTATTGAATCTGTAAAGATGCTAGCCTAGCATTAGAGGGAAGAGTATGATGAGTGATAAATGTTTCAAGCCTCTGGCCTCTTATCTCTGGTCCTGTGGGTTTTTTTTTTTTTAATTCTTCTCAAACTAAAGTGACTGAAAAGCTTTCCAGATCTGATAATTGAAAAGATTTTGAATGAAACTTTTGGCTCTTATAGCAGCATGAGATTATACAATGTGATATTAGCTGAATTGGTCCCAGAGTCTGACATGGAAACTAAAACATGTTACTGTTATTCCCTCTCAGCTATTTTTCAGGACGGTAGATAAAATACTAGCTTATTCGTCAACTGCTGTATATTGTGAATTCATAATTTAAAAGCAGTAGAATTCTTTTAGTATGTGTGAAGTGTGTGTATTTCTGTTTCCAATTATTATGTTTAATTTACATCTACTCACGTTAGAAATGTTTTAGGTTTGGAAAGTATTTTAAAAGTTGGGGTAATTAAAGAAAGTCACCCCAAGAGAAGTTTTACTGAAGCTGTGTGTATTCCTAGAGCTTTTTTACAAATGCAGTAGAACACAGGTGACTCAACCTTTTTTAAATGTTTTATTAGTCTCATGGTCTTGCTCCTTTCTACCATTCTAATTAATATGTATGCATATGCATGAGTGTACACATATTAATATAATATGCACTAATATATTGTAAAACATACATGTCTACATTTTATCTTTCTCATTGGAAACGTAAATTAAATAATGCCTAAATTACAGAACAGAAAATTACATTGAAGGATCTTTAATATTGCTAAGGAAAGCTCTCAAAAGTGCCA